GATTGGACTCCTTTCCAAAGTAAATGTGTGTCTGTCGAAAAGCCAAAGCTGTGAGGTCTCAGTGAGCGGAGATGGTTTCTCCCAAAATTCTGCTTTGCACAGCTCCAAAGTATTGCGGGAGTCCGGCGCATGGCTTTCAAAGGACAGCAGGAACTCCCTGACCCAGAATGAATATATCTCAAACTCTCCATACAGTACTGAGTAAAGGGTGCCGGAACCCATGTATATAACATTATATAACTTGAGCATCGCTGTACTGGGACAAGAGGTTGCCGAACATGAGTAGTGAAAGGGTGTTCGATGTGCTTCTGGGCTTCTGGCTGGTTGGGTATTAACATGTTCACTTGCATTAAGAACTGCTTCACATCTCCGGCCTAGTCTCTCTATGGTGAACTATCGCTACCATACGTTTGATTCTTCGGTGATAGGCATGCGGCATTTCGGGATTGCAAGCCTGGAAGCTTTTGAGAAGGATTTTCAGCAAATAGCTTGCAGTTCTGAAGAATACTGACATGGTCATGAACCTGTCAACTTGCTTTTTACAGTGCCTGTCGACTTGTGGCTCCTTTTCGGCGTGTGCACCTTTTCGGCTTGTGGCTCTTTCGCTCTGCACTAGCAACTCATGGACACCGTCACGTCTCACGGCGCTGCTGTAGTTCGCGCTTTGAGTGGTGAAAAAGATTGCCAGTTTGGCAAGGCCTACATGGGGGACCTGGCCTGCAATTCAACCAAAAACACTAAATATGTGATTGAATGAAGAAATCTGGAGGTTATGTTCACTCAGAATGAATGAGTTCACTCTGCATGGCCATACCCGATTAATTTACGCACTGCAGACAAGCATCATCCTTCCATGGAGACTGCACAAGTGCCGTCGAGCCTCGGCCATTCTTCCTTTGATTATCTTCAGCGCTCAGTTCAAGTCACAGCTTTAGGGACGGCTGAGACAAAGTCAAGGTGGAACGTAAGTTGACGAACTGTTTAACAAACGTTAACAAACTCAGGGTCAACACACACACAGACTGGACAAGTGCCCGCTGCTGCTCTGGGGGCAGGAAAGAAACATTCAGAAACTTGGGTCTGGACACTGTTTGGCGCCTTCCCCCAAGCAGCACAGTGCCACAACACATGGCTGAATGCCTCCTGATCAAGCTAGCTGTTTCATTTGCCTCTTGATGCCTCTTGCATGTCCAAAGAACCACTGGATGGCAACTCTGTGGCCTCCAGCTGCTCAATATTCTTGAGAGAAGGATGCCCCAACAACACCTGCATCTGAAAGCACTCAATACATTCAAACATACATGTCACAAACTGCATACCCTGCCTTTCGACTGCGGTGGTGGCTTCTCAGGCATCAGTGTCTGGTGAATGTTGGGAATGACCTCGATGTTGGCAGTTTTGAATCAAGCTGCAAGCAGTATATAGTGGAGGAAACAAAGCTGATACTCAGCAACCAGCCCCACCAGACCTTACAGTGACATTGCTCATGTACTTGTTGAGCTCCTGGGCTTCGCTGCATTGTTACTAGCTTCTTGTTCCTAGTAGCGATGCCAGGAGCCTCTAGTAGCGTCCTTGCTCCTAGTAGCAAGGCCAGGAGCCCCTAGTAATAGTAGGTTCTTGTTCCTAGTAAAACATAATAAAACATGGAGCCAACATTTGCTTCTGATTGGTAGGAAGCCTCGTCATTGCGAATGGCCAGCTGGATGTTTCTTGGAATGATGCGCTGCTTCTTGCTTTCCTGACGACAGGTTCGAAAGCAATTGGGTCGCGCCAAGCTTCGACAAATCTCCCAGGCCTTGGCAGAGTTTCCTGCAAGTTCCAGGATTTCTGCGCAAACGTACTCGATCACCCCGGTAAGGTAGATGCCCCTCAAGGTTTCGCTTGCCAACGCGCTATGCAATACGCAGTGCAACGTGCAGGAAGCAATTGTTGATGTGTCTTCGGCTCCGTCTTCCACTTTGCAAGTCAACACTGCAAAGGCTTCACTATCTACTACCTATATACCGATTGTAAATACTGTAAAAACATATACGTTGATGTACTTTGCGCAACTGGAGACGACTCAGGTCCTCACGCGTCCTTCTGAACACCTTGATTCATTGATGGTAGAATGTCATGTAGTGAGGACTACACAGCAACACCCGTAGTCTGGCGTGCAAATTGTTCTGGGCAACATGGCATTGCAAGGGATTCCACCAACTGCCGAGCGGCGTTTTGCGTATCCGCTGTCCTTCAGCATCTTCCGGATGCGAGACACCGGAAAGCCTGTCAAGCATTCATGCACTTCATACAGTTGATTGAACACATATTATACTATATACGTAATGATATGCATATATTGGTACACACCTAGAAAACAGTTGACATCAATGCAACCACTCCTCGGAAATGAATGATGCATCAGCTCAACATACTGTAACTCAAGTCTACATTCACCTATATAGAGCAAAGCAAGACTCTCAATCAAGCATGGCGGAATTGCATAGGCCAGCCCTGTTCTCGATCCGAGTGGCCTCGGTACTAACGTGCAATTTCTTAGAAATTGGAAACATGACAAAACGGCAAAACAACATGGAATACATACATTTAGCTTCAGTCTGTGCCTTCTTCCCTTTCACCGGCGGTTTCTTGGTTCGTGTTGGTGCCTTGCGCGAGGACGACTTTGGAGCGGCCTGATGCACGCAGCTCGAAAGTCATAACTTATGCCATGTCATTTCAAATCCATCTACTGGCTACAAAACTAGGAGTTGCAAGATGATGGCACATCCTGCTTGGCCATGAGAGCGCCTTGCCGCTGGGCTCTTCTGCTTCCTCTTCAGGCTCCTCGTCGTGGTCATCTTCTTCGTGATCCTGGAGCTCTTTTCCAAAGACGATAGCGTTGTGATGCATATCATGCAGCAACGAAACGGCAAATGGTGTACCTTGCCTGAGACACTGCGATCTCAGAACATGACCCTGACCGGTGAAACGCTGGGTGGATTTTAAAATGTTACCAAGCATGACATGCTACAGTACGAGTACCATACCCCTCAGATTCCTTCATCTGATACCATTCGGAGTGATCATCTGTGACTCGCAAACCTGTCTCCGTGCCCAAATGCCCAACTCAAGTCTGGTGGCAGGACCTCTGCTTTGGCTCTCGAGTGCAGCACCGAAAAGGACGTTACTAGTAGCGAGGCACTTGTTTCTAACAGCTTCTTGTTGCTACTAGTAAGGCACTTGTTACTAGTAGCGAGGCACTTGTTCCTAGTAGTTTATTGTTACTGTTTTCGAAGTAATTGCAAGCCCGAGCCGGCAATGGTCTTGCGACTAGGACCTAGGATACAGCATCCAACACAAAGCGGTCAAAGGAAGGGCGGAATAAAACAGAAAGACATGTCAATCACCACTGATGTTGTTGTTGTCTCTTCAGTAGTCCTCTGTCTTAGCGGCTTAACTACGCTCTCCACTATACTACAAAGATCTACACAAATAATTGAGGTCCTGATCATCATCTTCAGCCACGTCAGCTGGCACAATGTCCTCCTCAACATCTATTCAACGCTTTCCAAGGTGTTCCGCTCGAATCTTTTGAGTTTAATTGGTTTTGCTCGTCCCAGTCAACTCTAGACATTTACAACACAACATACAGCGGTCAAACTCAAAGAATGGCGTTCTGCTTCAGTTCCTGCTCGCCTGCCTGTGACCTCTCTCTCTCTCTGCCTCTTTCTCGTGATTTCCACTGACAGAGCAACTTAAAAACGCACTAACAAATAAACCAACCAGCTAACTGACTGCTCCTGATCTGACATCCTGATGCACAAAAAGAGTGCCTCAAGGAGAAACGGTGACATGTTCAAGGTGCTCAACATTCTAGCTCAGCATCGAATTGTTCATGAAGCTTTCCTACTGATCATTGCCAGGTCCCCCAAACCTATAAACATGAGTACTCAACCCCTGACCCGGTTCGACCTTCGCAAACAGTGCTTGCCTGATGGGTTGCACAGAGCCGCGGAGTGCGCAAACAGTATGCAAATGAGCTTGAACCATCAAATCAATTTAGCAAGGTTTTACAGTCACATGACATGAACAATCAAAACAACAAAAATTTGAGAAACACATTATTTCAGCTTAGCGTCGCTTCATTGTGTACCATCATCTACCTGTTCATCGACCAGCTATGAGCTCTCACGTTCTGCAATTTTCGCGCTGCGAAGATATGAGGAGCAATGCCAGGAGCCCCTAGTGGCCTCTTGTTCCTAGTAGTAAGGCCAGGAGCCCCTAGTAGCGTCCTCGCTCCTAGTAGCGATGCCAGGAGCCCCTAGTAGCCTCTTGGGATGTGAGCTGAATATAGCGAGACAGCACCCAACACGGCGGAGTGACGGGATGGGGCCACGCCATCTCCACGCAAGAAGCGCCGGTTACTCGTCGCCTGCTCTATTTAAAAATTGTCGACCGAGCAAGAGACGGTGAATCAGCTCTTTCAAGAGAAGCTGTTGCATTAAAGGAATTACTGTATGCAGGCTGCATTTGCAGCGCAAGCAGCAGGGGTTGTTTCCAACAAAACCTTCAGCGAAAGAGGGTTCTCTAGCAGAAGGCCAAGACTGACCTTGTTGGTGATCCAGAATCCCAACAAGTGCTGTACCGCTAAAGCCATTCCCCAGGCTTCAGTGGCGCTCTGCGCACGGAATCAACAAACATCGTCAACATCTCTCGATGGAGGATTTGTCATGTGGAGAGCACCGGAGGTGGAATAGTTGACTCTCACCTCACCTCGAAAAACTATGAAAAAGTTATGCCCTTCAGGGCGCTTGGACAATCGCAGCAAGCTTAAATATATGCTCCGCATAAAGCCGTCACATGAGGCGTAAAAAGGGGTTCTGGACCACCACTCATGTGACAAAAAAACCCTTCGCGTCGCACAAATAAGCACCCCCAACAGGCTCGCAAATCGCCTGCGACTTAAAGAATTTGCATAAACTTATTATCTCTAGCGTATCCTCGGAGGTGGGTCATTGCCTTCACGGGACACAGTCGAAGCTAACCAGCTCAAAGGCCTGCACCGACACAGCAATCTACTAGCGGGAATGTTGGCATTTGCAAAGCAAGTCAAACGTAGTGTCTGGGCGCAACTCTTTGCAAAAGAACAAGCTAGGAACGGTAGAAAGGAGAATGAAGGCAACCCGACCAAGGAGGCTTCAACCGAGAGTTTGCAGTCAAGGTGCCACAGTGCGGATGTTTAAAAGGAATGTCTGATGACGTAGCATGTGTGTAAAAGTAAACACGTAGCATTGTACAAAAGGAGCTCATGAAAATCCTGAAAATTACTGTCCTATTTCTTTGTTAAGTGAGAGCACAGCATCCGTGCTATTCAAAAAAGATTCTCTTCCATAATTAATCCATATATCTGTGACATTCAGTTTGGTTTCAGAGCCAGCCGCTCCACAGCCGGCCCACAGCCTTCTTCCAACGTCTTACAGAAGAAGGAAATGATTATTAATTATCTCATTATATCTATATGGGTGTTGATCTAAAAATTACTTTAGCCAAATGTTGCCTTCCTGTGCTTTATCATTCGCCGAAGTATGTTGTATTTATGTGTGCCATGTGTGTTGTATGATGGATATCAATTTTGTTCATGCCAATGGCTTCTTCTACGGGCAAATACCAAATAAAAATTCACCGTTTGTCAGCATGTGTCTTCGATTTAACTGTTGACACCCTGTCCGTCTCTTTTGTTTCTCCCGGGTGTCAGCAAGAAGAAAAATTGCAAGAATCACTGTAGTAGCCGGTCACTCAGACTTGCTCATAATGGGCTGGGGGTTCAGATGTGGCAGGGTAAACTTTCGCCAGTCTTGAGCTGAACTTTCGCCAACCTTTTGCCTTTTGCGCGGTAGAGTTTTGTGGCAAAGCCGCCCCCCCCAAAGCAGTAGTAGTAGTAGTCGTCGTCGTCGTCGTGGTAGTGGTAGTGGTGGGAGTGGTAGTGGTAGTAGCGGTAGTACTAGTAGTAGTAGTAGTAGTAGTAGTAGTAGTAGTAGTAGTATGTAGTAGTAGCAGTAGTAGTAGTAGTAGCAGTAGTTAGTAGCAGCACCAGAAGGAGTAGTAGTAGTAGTAGTAGTAGTAGTAGTAGTAGCCGCAGCAGCAGCAGATGATGATTCATATAAATGATAAAGTACACTCATTCACTCTGATATTAGAATGTGAGCTACATGAGCAGCTACATGACTCTGCAGCGTAAGTGCAACAAATACACATTTATACGCATTGGTTATAAAAATCCGTGTCTTAGCGTGTCTACGTGTCCAAGTTGTATCTACAAACCACGTTGAACCCAACCATTTGGGCGCTGGAATTCAAACGAGAAACGTCAACAACCTGGTCTTGCCTGCAGTGGGCAGCCTAAAGGTACAATTACCAAAGGTCCTGGATGCTTGATATGACTTATGAGTAGTCTGTACCATGCCAGACTTTGTGGAGCACCTGGGTTGTCATCCGCTCGCTCACATCAAATGGTGAAGGACCACCAGATAGATCTTTGTCGACGCGGGCATCATTCGCCTTCACACAAAGCAGTGACAGTAGAGACTTCATCACTACTGCTGCGATGGCCTCTGCATCATTGCGCCTCGGCCGGAACAAAAATGAAAAGTGGTTCACGTTCTTCTTTTGCACGGGCTCAAGGATGAAGAGAACTAGACGACGAATGGTCCGGGAACGTTGAAACACATGCATATCAGTTCTGTTGTTGTTCAGTGTGTCTCGTTCTTGTATCACAACATATCACAACGCTTGTGGATCAAGCGTTTAGCTACAACAACGTACAGTAGCGACAAGCCTCATGGACAGCGCCAATCATCCCAATCATTCTTCTCTTCCACCAATGGCACGGGCTTCCGGAAACGCACTTTCCACCAAGGCCGTGTCAGACTGAATGGCACAGCGACATCGCAAACGTTATAGGCTAAATGGAGGGTGTGTGGAGAAAGGGGGTCAGCAAAAATCGCTTATACGAAGTTAGTGCATCAAAAATACCTTCCACGAAGTTCTGCGAAGGTTTCTGGAATTTCGTTGCAGTCAGTTCTCCTACTGGCCCACCATTCCACGAACTGTCCACGAATAGCCTTGGGTTCTACGAATGTCCCACGCCTTCCACGATGTTAGTAGAATAGGTTTTTGCAAAACCCTTTCTGTGCACTACCCTTCCGTTTGCCTCTGAAACGTAATTTATCGTAATTTCATGTAATTCTGCCACATGGCGCACCACAGACTAGATACAGCAATGTAGCACCAAGCCTCGTGGAATCATCCCGGCCCCCCACCGCACGCCGCGTTTACGCTGTGGGCAGCGCCAGTCATTTCGCTCCCCAGCATTTCCTTCCTCCAATGACACAGACTTGCGCAAACGCCCTTTCCACCGAGGCCGGGCAAAAACCGCGTGTCATGGCGACATCGCAGCCGTAATTTCCACAGACTGCATTTGCGCTACATCTGCACTATGTTGCCAGCTTCCTGCAAACATGCGCATTACAAAATTGCCCGTCTGGGCCGTTCTCCAGTTCCCAGAAGCCCCGGCCGCGCCTGTCTAGTTGCCAGTTCTGAGGCCAGGTTCCAGAAGCGTGCTGCTTTTGTTGCCAGTTCTGAGGCCACAGCTCCCACCCGTCTACATGTATGTGTCCTACAAAGTTGCCAGCTCTGAGGTCACAGCTCCCAGAAGCTGCTGCCTGTTTGTTTGTTCGACGACACAGTAGCTTACACACTTTTTTGGCAACGCACACCTTCGGTTGCGATGACAGACACATTGGCAACATCTACCTGCGTACTTGACAGCAGTTACACATTTTGGCAATTCCCACCTTTGTTTTTGAGGACAGCCAAACACTTTTGGCAAGTTACACGACCTCCACCTTCGTTTTCGATGGCAGCACACACGTTGGCAATCCACCGTCGCTTTTGATGACAACTACGTGGTAACAGGAGTTCGCCCACAACAGGCATAGCTGCGCGTAGCTCTCCTGCAAGGACTATCTAAGAGCTACCATTAAGAGTGAAGCAAAGCGGTACGAAGACCCGAACAGCGAACAAAAGACAATACGAAGAGAAACCAAAGGGAGGTGGTGACAAAGCACCCAACGGATACGAGACGGAGAAGTGACTTTGACAAGTTGTCAGTAGAAACAGACCAGGAAAACCAGGGACTCACCATCCTTGAGGAGAGGAGAGGGGAGCACAGCCAAACCTCACCCTCAGTCCAAGCAAGCCACAAGGGGTGAAATGGGGAGGGAGAAACCGACAGTGTGCAAACAACAGTCGAACAACGACGAAGAACCGAACCAGTCCTGACAGCGGGTCACGGGCGGGGACGAACGTCGCGCGAACCATGGCTCGCGAGGCCGGGGTCTTTTGGGGCTCCGAAGCCGACCCGAACCTTTACTAGCAGACTTGCCCCTAGCAGTAGGGTCTGGAAGTTCAAGCTTGGACAGGACTGACCGTTGGCAGCAGAGTACTGCAACCGGGCTTCCCAAAAAATGGGTGCAAAGCAAAGGACAGCATGGTTTCCCGACCCAGCAAAACAGTTTCGGACGGCCAAAACACAGCGATAAGAGGCCATGGTTTGTCCTCAACAGGCTCCCCAGAAAATGTAATGCCAGGTGTTTGTCGGATTGAATAATTATCCTAGAGGAACTCATCCTTCACAGCAGCATGTGATACCTATTTTCTGCTCATCTTGGTCTGAGTTGTTTTATGAAAAAACATCACTGTAAACATCAGCAGGCGGTTGGCAACAACGCCAACACGGAGGCGCCAAGGATCAAACGCAATTTTGGCAATCTGCCACACTTCTTGCCAATACTGCTCCTCCTTGGAGATTGGCAAAATCACCTTAGCAACAGGAGACTGTCTGATTTACTCTCCATTTATGTCCAAAAGAGGTCCGCAGCTTTGAACAGCACATAAGTAACTATGTATTCGCGCAGCACCAACACATCCAACGAAATTTACTACTAAAAGGCTACAATGATATAAAGCGTTCATTAACTAAGAGCTTTAAAATTGCAAAGAAATATCGAAAACATAGAATAAAACATATATATATATCATATATATACACTGTAGTAATGTGGATACAAGTAACATGTTTAATTAACCATATGCCGAATCACCTATGATTACAATGATGGGACCGGATATCAGACTGACGGTTGATATATCTATATATAATATATAGCCATCTAGATAGAACTATATAAAGCATTTAGCTCGTTTAATACTGCGTGCACTTTGATTTAACAGGCATTCTACCAACTCGGTGGCAGCGCAACAAATATCGGGCTGACTAGTAACACAGACGCAAATGTCCAAGTACCAAATTCATACTATACAAATTGAACAGTCGTGTTTATTGCGGATCAAGAGCACCGTCACCGTGATCAACTTTTCTACATCTATATATATATGTATATAACTAGTATATATTTAAACTATATATGCATAATTAATTAGTTGAATATATAGCAGCACCATTTTAATGTTGCTGTGCCGGGTGCTGTACGTTTACCTCTTTGTTTCCTTTCATATCTGGGCTCAGGGCATCTGCGACGGCAGCTTGCTCCCGCTCTTTCGGTTCTCCCTCCGTTCCCTCTTCGTCACAAAGCAATGCCTGCCACCGGGGGGTCGAGCACCGATCGAGATGGCGTTGTCCTGCGGCCCTGTGCGTGGCACTTGTTACTACTACCGTGGCACCTGTTACTACTAGCTTCTTGTTACTACTAGTAAGGCACTTGTTACTACTAGCGTGGCACTTGTTACTACTAGCGTGGCACTTGTTACTACTAGCTTTTGCCCATCGGTTCCATACTCATCACACCGAGAAATTTAGCTTCGGTGATGGAGTCCCAAACTGCCTCTGAGACAGTGTGCGACGTGTCCAGTGAACGACACGGTCTAGGGTGCAGCGTGCAAGCCGAAAACACGCCAAGGCAACATCACCTCCTGCTATACCGTAAAATTGCTATGGATGAGGTCCTTGGATGTCCTTGGCTTAGCCTGTTAGCAGGAGCCAAGGTTAGCAGGTGCAAGTGGTTGATCAGACCACTCCTCCACAGAAATTCTACAGTTTCTTTGGACACGCACATGGGATCCAGCCCGCCTGCTGTGAGATAGAAATATGATGACATATGCACTCACTGCGTCAGAAACTATGAGATTTCTCTTCGGTCGATGGTGGATCTTGAGGGATGCTTCTGTGATTCTGGACAGGGACCCTTGCGAACTAACTACCTGCAATTCCATTTGGATTCGGTATTGCTCGCAAGGAACCGCATAACTGCTTCGGGAATGCCCGTGCCTGCTTTAGATCAATTGAGGCTGGGGTCGTCAAAGCAGGCACAACGCCCATTACACGCTGAGATTTGCGGAGAATCAGTGGAATTCTGAATCTCCTAAGACCACGGAGTCGGAGGTAGAGACAGTGCACAACCACCGTCTAAGCCGAAAGCCGAAAGATCTGTCAGGCAACATCAGCTCATGGATGTTCATGGTAAAACCGCAAAATTATGCAGCTTTGCTGGACTGGATAGGCAAATAAACGGGCTCCAGGCTCAAAAACTATCAAGAACTGGTGTTTGTGATAGCAGATTACAAAACACAGGAGACACAGGCACAGCCAGGTGCTGAGCGAGACCACTTGCAAACTAGCAACTTCATAAACATCAAATGCGCAAAATCTGTGGGGAGATCTGGAGTGCTGTCAGGCGCTGTCTGAAGTGCTGTTTCAAGCCGCAAACAGTACAGTAGCTATATATATAGTCTAAAGATAGGGGTTGGTATTAAGTGGGTACCTTGGGGGGTGCGATTTTATAGTGCCAAAATGCTGGGACCAACCCCCCTCCAATGAGGGTAACTTTTTGGCCCTATAAAATTGAGGAGAACATAGGAAAAGAACCCAAGTACAAAGATTTAGCTCTATAGAATTGAGGGCCATTTGTCTGTCAAAAGCTGTTGAAAGTTGTGAATATTAAGGGTTTTTGTCTATAGAATTGCGGGCCCCAAGGTACTCCCGAACAGGTGTTGTCGAGTTGTAATCTGAACCTGGTTCTCTGTAGAGTAAAGGGCCATGGGTCTCAAAAAACCTGTTTCTGTATAGAATCAAGGGCCATGGGTCTCAACAAAACATAAAATTCCAATTTCAATGGAAGGTATTGATTTGCCAGTTGGTAGGACCACAATTCTATAGAGAAGACAGCAGGTGTTATGGAGAGGATTGGAGAGGGAAGGATCTGTGATGATCTCTGATTTTATAGTGTCCAGATGTGTCCAAATGCTGTCCCCAAATCATCCACTTCTCCCCTTTCCCAAGTCATCCCAAGCCGTCCAGAGGCTGCAAATGCCTGCAAATTGTTTTCCTTGGCTGGTTTCACGGTAGATGGTAAATTGTATTTCATATAAGGCGTTCCCTTGCTAGGATGCTCCTGATTTGTTAGCGTCATCATGCGTCATCCTGATTCATTCAAGAACCCATTCCCCAGGGTTCTTTTGAGCAATCCCAATTGGAATCAAGCCAAGAAAAAGCAATCTCTATAGAATTGCGGGTCATGACATCCAAAATCATAGAAATCATTCTCTATAGAATCGGTATGCCCCAGTCATCCAAAATCCCTTCACTATACTTACAAGCCTCTATAGAATCAAGCTTGCAATTCTCTATAAAATCGAGGCTCTTGAAGGACAGGACTTTACAAGCTCCATATGAGCCAAGGAAACCTGGCTAAAAAAATTGTCTTTTCGGGGACCCAACCCCCGCGATTCTATAGAGGAAATTCCATCCCCTATGTCTAAAGTGTGCTAAAGTATTTGAAAGCTGAAACATACAAACACAAACATCCTCGGCCTGAAGCTCAAGTGAACGACGTCGCCCCTCTAACCTCTTCCTTTGCTGAAAGGTCAATCCTTAGTCAATAGCACGTCACAGCATTTCAAATTCATGATGCCTTTTGGATCATGTTGGCCTCTGTTCGTCATCATCATTACCTTGCTGAATTCAGACAAAACTGGGTCGTCCGCCTTCCACACTTGTTGACGGCTGTGCAGCTCGTTGCTGGCAGCAAACGATGTAGCAACAACATACATCCACTGTTTCAATGAAAGTGGAACTATGCAAAACAGTGTATCCCAAGGCAAGCACGTAATCAAAATTGTGCAACTCATCTGACATAAGTTCAGATCAGCCAATTTAGGGGCCACAACCTGGGCAGAATGTGGAAAGCAAGTCTGCAAATGCAACATGAAAGTTAGTTGGCAGCAATGTTTGGGGTAGGAAATCAGGCCTGGTCACTGGCATCTTCACTGTGCCCTGTCTCTGTCCTGCGGTCAACGCATCTTGCCAAAGTGATTTGAACATGATGCGTAAAGTTCAAAAAAAATGGTCCCGATGATGGCAGTTTGAGATCTCACCACTTTTTCAGCCTGCCGACACAAGGACAGCCAAAAAAACCTGCGCTGGAAATCAAATGGGCCTGGTGCCAGCATCTCGCATGTCCATGTCAACATTAAAAGCAGCGGGAAGTTGATGATTAGATTTGATTGGATTACTAACCATATATATATATACATATATAATCACACACATATATATATATATATGATGGATGAAAAATCAAGGGTCACAATGCAGTCAAAACTTGCATCAGACTTGCAGTCTGACAGCTTTGTTCAGTCAGTTAAGCGACACAGCGGTAATTCAGACGTTGGGCACAAAGAAATGTGCGCTGCCTATGTCCTACCCAATACTACGAACGCCCATTTTGCAGCGGGGGACATGAGTCCATGGAGAAGTCTATGAATGTCTATGAACAATATTATTCAATATGACGGAGCACGACGCCACTTTTTATAAACTGCCTTTCCCCCAAAAGTGTCAAAATCGAAGTCAGGTCACCATAGGCCAGCAATGTTTGTTTCAAAGTTATTTTCACACACCCCAACAAATCAGCCTTCTGGGCCGACACAAGAGGTTGGAGGCCATCGCTCTTAGTTACGTTGGAGGCCATCGCTATTAGGTTCCTTAGTTTTTGTTCTACAAAAGTTCCTTAAACTCCATACTTCCATCATTACTACCCCAAAGCCAGGTGGGGGAAAGTAGGTCGAAAGGCACTGCTTTGGCGACAAACACCACAGCCGGGCGACCGGATCCGGGCAACGCAGATCCGCAGTCAAAAGCCTACATGGAGGCCAGGTGTTGTGGGTTTTAATGCCAAAAAAGTGCCCCAAGGCCGCAGTTGAATAGTGCGCCTTTAGTAAAGAACAGCAAGGCCACCTGAACAATAAAGGACAACACTGGTTTTAGGTTATATAACATGATAGCACTGCACAGCAAAGCTGAGAAGTAACCATCCAACTCAAGCAGGGCGTTTCTTCCAACACTCGGAGCACTCCTGCGCAGCCTACCCCAAGGTCTCCATAGAATTTTAAAGTGCATCTTGATCAATTCAATTCGCCTTTTCTATATGTTCTATCCTTTTTTGGTTTCCTAAGCCCCTTTACTCTACCGTGTCAAACAATCAAATAAAAATTTTGTCCAAAGAACACGTTAATAAAATCCAACGCGCAAGGCCCGTTCGCGAAAAAGAAATCACTAGGTACGTAATACACACATGTTTGAAGCGCACCTACAATTGACCTACAGGGCCTACAGTAAGAATAGAAGAGCATTGATCGCTACAGAATGACTTACCTAACCACTAGAACTGTCAGGTCATACCTCCGCGCCATTGTCGCAATCATCTTTATCATCTGTGATTGGTGAGTCCAAGCACTCAGTACCTGGAACCAAACACTTGTCTTTCACAGCTAGCAGAAACTGTGACGCGACAAGCCATCTTGCGCAAATCTTGCGCTGGTGCCTCGTCGTCGCAAAACAGCGCCAAGCTGCTGCGTGTTCAAACCATGAACCTCCCCGACTGCAGTTGTAGACCTGCACTTCACGCGAAGCGCTTGCTGGCAAAGCGAACGGATTGTGAGGGCTGGACGCTCGTCTCCGAACAGGACAACGTCTAGAGCCTGAGCGAAACTCCGGCCAGACCAGTGTAGACCTACTGAAGGCATGAATCCGGAAAAAAAACAACACTGTCACTGAACAACTGTTCAAACAAACCAGCTGGCGATCTGAATGGAGCGGTGTAACCGGGGATGTGGATGGACGAAAAACATTTCAGCTGTCAACTGATGCAACCAAGCTGCTAGGTGTCTGAGGAGCCACTGCACAGGTGGCACTTGCCACACCTGCAGGCAGAATTCCATGTTAATAGCAACACCTAACCTAGTGTGATGATGTTTGCGTTACTTACATGTTGGTTTTTGCATGGTCTTTGCTGCGTGCGCGCGTGCGTGTGCATGCGTTCATCGTCCTTGCATTGATAGTGTTGCACTTAAAGCAAAGGAAGTTTGATGAAACTTCCAAGTCACGCGGAAACACTGGAGCTATAGGTTTTGTCACGCGTACGCCGCGTAGCATGTCTGGCCTGCGTAAAGCGCTGTGGGCGGGATGGGTTTTGTCTGTGTGTGGCCGGTCATCATTGTTTGGGCGGATTCATGGAAGCGCCGTTCCATTGGGGAATGGAACTGCAGTTAGAACCGCTGCGTGAGTTGCAAAATAGTGCATTACATGTCTAAGAAAAGCGCTGCGATGCATAATGCAGTTTTCTTGAGAAAGAGTACAGGAAAGTTCTCTAAAGTAGAGTTTTCAAGAGAAAAGTGCACAAGGTAGAGATTTGTGAGATTTCTAAAGGTTGAGCAAAATGTATATATATATATACATACAGCAAAGCAGATTCTAGAGAAAGGTTCAAGAAGTTTAAATTCCTAGTGTCTAGGAATGAGCAGCAGGGACACTTAACCTTTTCAATCATCAAAGTACACACGTGTGACATGACTGTACCCTCCTTTTAACTTTTGACTTGACTTATGTATTCAGTTTATCCAGCCACCCCCCCTCAGTGACCGATCAAAAGCCAAGATAAGCCTGATCTGTGTGGGGGCGGCCCATTTGGCCAGACGCGCGCCTCCCCTCCCAGTGGCTGTGCGATTGCCTTGTCCTTTTCGATATCCGCCCAGTCATGTGGGGAGATGCCTCTACCTGTCTCTATACTATATACCTCTCTATCCACGGCACGGGTCGATCAGAATCCCATTCTGCCCAGAGGTCTGATCAACCCGGGCAACGGGCTGTTTTGTCAAGCTGAGTGGCCGCTACACCGATTTGCGATGATTTGCGGGAGTTCCATACCTTTGACGCGCTCCTGACAGGAATCATGGGATTCAGGACATCCATGAATTCCTCTCTTCTTCCATGGATTCCTGATGATTCCTGTGTTCCAAGTTATCTCCATCAATGGGAATCGGGGTGTGTGTGGGGCGTTGAGACGATTCAGGATTGGGGTCATAGCCATTGTCAAATGAGTGAAGGGCAGTGAGCGAGGCACTGGGAACCTGCACAGGGCACACATGTTTGGCCAGCACTGACCTCATGGTGCGAAGTGAAACGAAATGCAAGAACATAGTAGCGTCCTTGTTCCTAGTAGCGATGCCAGGAGCCCCTAGTAGTGTCCTTGCTCCTAGTAGCGATGCCAGGAGCCCCTAGTAGCATCCTTGCTCCTAGTAGCGATGCCAGGAACCCCTAGTAGCGTCCTTGCTCCTAGTAGCGATGCCAGGAGCCCCTAGTAGCGTCCTTGTTGCCAGGAGCCACTAGTAGCGTCCTTGCTCGTAGTGGCGATGCCAGGAGCCCGTAGTAGCGTCCTTGCTCCTAGTAGCGATGCCAGGAGCCCCTAGTAGCGTCCTTGCTCCTAGTAGCGATGCCAGGAGCCCCTAGTAGCGTCCTTGCTCCTTAGCGGCCTTGCTCCTAGTAGCGATGCCAGGAGCCCCTAGTAGCGTCCTTGCT